AACAATGACCCAGCCCCCCCGCCCTCCCTAGAACCTGGTGCAGGCTCGCGAGGCGACCCTCGGGCAGGCGAAATCGTCCAAGCGCCCGCGCGCGCCCCCGTCGTCGTCCTCTGTCCCTCTCGCTCATCGTGTTGAAGGGGAGCTGGTCCTCTATGGCTCCCTGCGTCGCGGATGTTCCTCCTCCCACTCTGCTCTTGCCCTCGTCTCCTCCTCCTCATCCTCCTCCTCCTCCTCCTCCTCCTCCTCCTCCTCCTCCTCCTCCTCCTCGTCCTCTCGAACATCACCCAGCCTCCTCCTTCTCGTCCTCGCACTCTTCTTGTCCTCGTGCTCCTCCTCCTCCTTCTCCTCCTCCTCCAGCTCTTCCCGCGTTGGCCAGCAGACAGCCAGGCGGAAGGGTGAGTAGTCCTGCCGCTGTTTAGAGGAAGCTGCTGGGAACCAAGGGGCGACAAATTCTCCAAACTCGTTGTGCGCGAAGGCGCGGCATGGGAGCCGCGCCAGGGCAATGTCGGGGTTAGCCAGGCAGTGTCCCCCGCGAAGCCTCAGCAGGCCCCTGGGCTCCTGGAAGCCGACGACGGCCAAAGTTCACCGAAAACGCCCAAAAGCGCCCTGCCTCGATCCTCGACGGCCGTGGGCAAAAACATGTCAGCCGGGGGGAAAAAAAAAAGTGGGGGGAGAAGGAGGAAGAAAGGGAAGAGGAGGAGGAGGAGGAGGAGGAGGAGGAGACGACGACGACGACGGACACCGACGACGACGACGACGGACACTGACGACCACGGACGACCACGACCAGGGGCGAACGACGCGACGGACACCGACAACGACGACGGACACCGATGACCACAGACGAACACCGATGATTACAGACGACCACGACCGCGGTCGACGACAATAATGCCGGACGACGACGACGACGACGACGACGACGACGACGACGACGACGACGACGACGACGGACGACGACAACGACGACGACGACGACAACGGGCGACGACGACAACGACGACGACGACGGACGACGACGACGGACGACGACGACGGACGACGACGTCGGATGACGACGACGGCGAAGACGACAACGACGACGACGAATTCGAAGAGGGGCGACGGCGACGACGACGATGATGGACGACGACGACGACGGACGACGACGACGACGACGACGACGACGACGACGACGACGACGACGACGACGGGCGACGACGACGACGAACGGGCGACGACGGACGACGACGACGACGACGACGACGACGACAACGGACAACGACGGACGACGACGACGGTGGACGACGACGACGACGGACGACGACGATGGCGGACGACGACGACGACGGACGACGACGATGACGGACGACGATGACGGACGGACGACGACGGACGGACGGACGGACGACGGACGGCAGCGGACGACAACGGACGACGACGACGACGACGACGACGACGACGACGA